CGTGGATGAGGCATAAGGGTTAGACTTAATCGGGTTCTTGTCAACCAGGAGTGGATAAATTTATTTCCAAATGCTTCGGTTTTTCACCTCAAGCCAAACTCCTCAGATCATATCCCGTTGTTACTTGATTGGGAGGCAAAGTGCATATTAAAGTACAAAAAATCTTTCTGTTATGAGGAAGCTTAGACGGCAAGGGAAGTATGTACAAAGGCTGTACAATTGGGGTGAGCTGCTGAATTTGAAGGCTCGCCGATGTTTCTAGTTACGGAAAAAATAAAGGCCACTCGAGTTCAATTGATCAATTGGGTGAACCGTGGACATCGAAGACTCCCTAGCAATATTGTAGCAAGTGAGGATAAGTTGAATAGTCTCTTTGGCCAGCCTTTCAACGATACCACCATTGCCCGACGGAAAGAATTATAGAAGCAACTCCACTATTTACTTGCTCAAGAGGAAGCCTTTTGGAGGTAACGATTCCGAGAGAATTGATTACATTTAGGTGATCAAAACAATAAATATTTTCACCAAAAGGCGAATTGAAGGCAACAAGAAATGGTTACATGGCCTATTCGACGAAAATGGAGATTGGCATGACGACAAACCCGTATGGAGAATATTATTATGAATTATTTTACATTGCACTATTACTGTAGTACTTTCTTGGGTCAAGACCAATTTTACGTGTATGTTCACATTGCACCATTACGCTCACTTTTGATTCATTGTTGGTGTAAGCCAGTACTAGTTGCTCTTGCATCTAGGACTCATATGTGATGTGCTTATCGTCGGCTTCATGTTATGAAGACTAGCTCAAGCATAAATTATTACACACAACCTCTTCATGTACCTACTTTTTGCATAGATTTGTGTCTTTGCATTTTAATAAACATATTGTGGTACATTGTTGAGATACTTGTGATTTATCTGTACCCTTAGTATAATTGCTTTTACACTATACACTTTGGTTTTCATACTTACAAAGTATGATTTTGGAAACTATATGCATTTATAACAGGAGGTTACTATTTTGAGAAAAGAAAATGTTTTAGTGCATCCTTATTTTTGCCTGCTCACACTCTATGTTTTACATCCCTCCAGGACTTAGTAAGTGAATTATATGGCTAGCTATTGATCACTAATGGTTCTGACATCCGCTTCAATTAATACAGGAAATTTATTTCCTCTTAAGTGTAAAATATTCTTCATACCCAGTATGAGAATATTCTTTTTTCTGTTACACTTTTATCTATTCTATGACATTGTATGCATTTTAATAAGAGTTGATCACACTACGTACTCTCACACTAATTTAATTTAGTTTTAGATTTTGATTATAATTTACTCGTACTTTTTACACATCATATGCATGTTATGATTTCGTCACTTTCCAGATGTCAGTCATCATGCCTCAATCTTGGTGTCCTTTTTAATAGCCGGATTGAGGTGTTTCACCTTTTGAATAGGTAGCGGGTAAGACCTCCAATGCTGTGAGTGGAATTAGTCCTAGGCGCACTAGATAAGACTTAAGAGTAACTAAGAGCCAATTAACATTATCTTTATCTTTCTAGAAGTGATTTGCTTTAACCTTGTTACCAAACTCAAGTTAAAGTGGGACAAAATATCGCTTTAAGATAAAAGTATTAATGTGTTTCAAAGTCTTTTTATTGTCTAATTCTCAACCCTGTTCTAACAGTGACAATCGACGCATATGCTGGACTTTGGAGGTATCTTTATCTCGATATACTCCAAGGGTTTTGTTTTTTGTGTTGTTGAAGCACCCAATCTTGTTTGAATATTTCTGCAAGGTCACGAAGTCGCATTCTTAAATGTATTTCTTTCAGTCTTTTTTTTAATGGATGAAATACTCCGATCGTAGCGAGTATTCAAATGTCGATCTAACTTCATTTTTCAGTAATATATAAACACCAAAATGTGCCCTAGCATACTATTTGTAATGAATGAGTTCCACATTGATAAGAGAAGAGATCTTGCATGGGCTTATAAGAGGTTGGGCTAATTCCTATATTGTTAATTTGTTTTATGGTGGAACCTCAACTTTCTTCATGGTATCAAAGAAGGTTGTCTCACGTGTGAAGCCAAACGCGCACCACATCATCCCGTTGTGTTGTCCATGTGTTAGGCTTGAAATTTCGCCACACATGAGGGGGCGTGTTGAGAATGAGTCCCACATTAATGGGAGAAGGGACCTTGCATGAGTTTATAAGAGGTTTGACTACTTTTCATATAATGAGTCCTACATTGATTGGAAAATGGACATTGCATTTCTTTATAAAAGGTTGGACTACTCTCCATATTGCCAATTTGTTTTATGGTGGAACCTCAACTTTCTTCACTATTTGATGAGTAAATCTAACCAATGAAATTGGTGACCTTAGGTCCCTTACTGTATTTTAAGTTTGATCATCAACCTGAGGAAAACTTGTGGCATAACTTTGGACAATGATTGTCTGCCTTCCCACTTCCGATGCCCACTCGTGCCCTCCAATTTTGTGTGGTCACGGTTAAGCCATGTCAACATTTTATATTATTTTTTTATAGAGATAATAAGACAAAAATGAATAGTAATATAAAATGTTGACAAGGCTTAACCGTGACCACACAAACAGAAAGGCATGGAAAGGCATTGAAAGTGGAAGGGCAGATAATCCTTGTCTCATAACTTTTGGCCGGAAAGTAGATATTAGTCAATAGCTTTAGTCATTGATTGATATGGCACATGTTTCATACTTTGTGGATTAATTAATGTTAAGTTGCTTTTCCGAATTGTAAATATGATAATACTTAGGTACTCATTTGTAAATTGCAATGCAATTATTCACGGATTATAAGATATGCTAAACACAATCTGCTTGCGTTTTCAATTGTTGCATTCATTAATCATATTGCCTAATGAATAAAACAACTAAAATGCAAATAAGGAATCATAAAGGAAAAACATCACATTGACCGTCCAAGTTTTTGTTTTATTGTACTACAACTAGCTAGTTTTTGGTCTGCGTTTAGGCATGTCCACTGTTGAGATGGTCAGGAGGAATTGTTCTAACTTTAAGAACCGGACTGTTCTCAAAGAATTGGTAGGCCGGAGCTCAAATCCACTACTCAATAGCGTACCACATGACTATGTCTTTGTTTTCATTCTCTCTATTCATGCACACTGACAACGATTAAAAAAATTCATTACAAATTTCTATATCCGCTTGTCGACGTAATAATGTTAGTTGACAAAATCATGGATCAAATACAAATATACAATTTAATCGCTACCTTACACATAATATTGGTCACCCAAATTAATATGATTAACTATGGTGTTCCCTAAAAACAAAAATATCTTGATCCCTTCCACAATGTATATGGTCTTTTTTAAATGATTTGAAATATTCAAAAGCATTTTTGACAACTTTTGGAAGAAAACGTAGAATTGTTAAGGGTTATCATCTGCAAGGTTTTTATTATTTCACGAAGCTCTTTTAAGTTCTTGAGGAAGCATTTCTAAGTATTTTTCCAGAAAGTACAAGATTTACCTTCTAAATATTTGACATGAAACGTTTTCAATGTAAGTGTTCATGACAAAATTACGTATCTTTCTAAAAATATTTTCAAGCAAGCCCAAAATACTATACCTGAGGGCCCAAACTGCTTGTACTTGGTAAAAGCACCACGAATTTGTGGGTATTCATCCTCTAACAAAAGGGATCCTGTAATTGACCGTGGAATCAAACGATAACCAGTTGGATTCCTATGTTTGGTCCCTTTATTAGGATTTAAATTTTGAAATAATAGAAGTTTAATCTTGTGTTTTTTTTTTTTTGGCTCATCAATCAACTTGAGGACACAAGATGCCCAAAGCGTTTAAAAAAACACTATTTACACATACTTAGTTACAGTAATTAACATCTTTATAGGGTAGCAAGTGGTGAATTATTAGTGGATTAGATTTCATTTTCAACTTATTACATTCCAAGTTCAAATCTTTTTCTCCATTTAATTAGATTAAACGTAGCAATATGATTGCCAATGAAAGTTAGTTGAGTTACTAAAGATCGTTCTCTTCACTAGGAAAAGGTCTAGGTTCGAGTCTTGTGTTGACGATCCATTTTGGTGGGCAATTTGTAGAACTCCTCTATAAATCCTCAAAGAAATTTGCAGTATGCTCTTGCACTGGGTTGAGGTAGCATTCCTTCCCCTTAAATTTTTGGAAAATTTTTATTTAAATCCAAATAACCTCTTTTTACACCCAACTTACTTTAAATGTGAAATGTCTTTATTACCCTATTATATAATTACCATCAAGTACAGGATAAAATTACAAGAAAAATAACCGTTAAGTAATTTTTCTCCCACATTCTGTTATGGCAAAAACCCTAAGACACTTTCATATAGAAAACAAGCTCTTTTTTACACATAGATGGTAATTTTGAAGTTTTGAATCTTCCAATTAAAGTATAAATCTATTTATGCAAGAGTTGAATTATTGATTCATATGACATATACCAACGTTATAACTGTTAGCTGTATAAGTTTACCAAGTCTTGTCTTGTTCTTTTTGGACACCATTAGCAAGTCTTCTACTTCTTAATTACATAACACGATCGTAACATCGTGCTTTATTTTTATTGGATTACATATCCAACTGCTACTACCTAATGAGAGTTGAAGATTCTAATAGTTAGATAATAGACAATATTGATTAATTATGTTTTTTATGTGTGCATTCGTATGATATCATACTGATAATATTGGTCTTTGCTCTGCAATCTAAATTCGGAGAACATTTTCCGAATGAGGGTCAGCCTGGTTATGGACTTCCTTGGTTACATGTATCTTCTTTGAAATAAACGGATCTTCTTTGATATAAAATCTTGTAGTCAGGATGTTCATTTACAAGAAGAGCCCATGTTGTAGATGTTACAAATACAATTTTCAGAATCTAAAAACAGCTCTCTCGTTACTTCAACCGAGTGTGCTTAATTTTTTAAGCCTAGTTCCTCCATCAAACACCGTCTTCATGTTACAGCCGCCTCCAACTTCATACGAACAACCATTAATCTACAGGCGGATAGAAAATAAAACTTCGAAACCGGAGTAAGTGGGTGACTGTCCGTGACTGTTAAAACGTATCAAATTTTCAAAACAAGTAGCAAACGATGTACATGGCCTTACCATGATTTGAAACTAAGTGCCTCGTCGATACTCCAATTGCTTTGTATTCTCTAGTAATACCTGTCATTCAAACAGAGGCCACATGACAAGGCAGAACTTATCACTGGACGGGCGGAAAATAAAGCAAGAAGGTGCTTACTTCTCGAATATATGTTGCAACTGCCTTGCAGCCTTCAATTGCAAGTTGCACTACATTTTCAAAAATATCCAATGGTAATTTAGCATCCATCTGCATCAAAGATCATCACGAATAAGTGGTTTACAAAAGGTGCTAGAGAAGACACTGTAGATGCCAACTAACAATATAATTGTAACTTAAGCTTGTGAGAATATATTGCGAAACATATACGACAGATTACCTGAAGAAGAGTAATTTTGTCCAACTTCGGCATAATACCTAAAGTGACATCAGCACCTCCAGCACTATCTTCTACATAGTTTAAATCTGACAAGCCAGCGACAATAAGCTCACGTGAGAATTACAATATCATACTAGTACAATGGCATTATAGAAGCTGCACAAGCATAAAGTAACGTAAAAATTTACCAAGTAGATGTGTGCTATTAAGGTAACCGGCACTACAAGAAGTAACAAGATCACGCATTGGAATTCCAGCATCTGAAAGGGCCACGGTTGCAGCATTGATACATGCTGATCTAGTTCCTGACAAAAATAAAATAAAAATCAAACACACAGATAGATCTTTCAATTCTTTATGTAAAACAGTGAAGTAACCTGTTGAAATCTGGTAGTATTTGCAAAATAGTTAAACATTATAACCGAAACACAGATAACAGGGACAACCATGGTACTTTGTGAACACTATCGATCATATATTCTATTTAAATAACATGCAACAAAAGCAATAACTATTAACGAACTGCCTGCAGCGCAGTTTGACCCTCAAACACGACTTACCTCAATAGTAGTTAAAAAACACAAACTAACAACTTTAAATTCAAATACAAGTGGTTCATAGTACCCGTACATGAAATGAATAGAGGAGGCTTTGGATTTTCAGAAAATAAGCCTGGATCTACAAATATATTGAATGAAACAGGACCAAATATGCACATTGCACACACACATAGAAGGAAACAGGGCAGCATTGATTTATTACATAATCTGAAAGTACATTATCATATAGGACCTATGACTGCAACGAGGCACTAGGATTTACCTCCATCTGCTTGGAGAACTTGCGCAAAAATATCAATCTGCAACAAACGGATACAAGGCTCAATAAAGAACAAACTAGACATTCATGGAAGAAAAGTTCCCAAGATGCATCAGTGGAACCTGAGTCCGAGGCATTAAATGTGTCATAATGCATGCTTCCATGGTTTGCCGAATAACAAGAGAAATCTCTGTGGATCGTCTGAGAGCATAAAAATGTACATTTTAGTTATATAGTTTAATTTAGTTATGGATACAACACTCTGATGTTAAATTGTAAATTGAAGATGATCCAACATGTATGTATGAAAATGAAAGAGAATAGAATACACCCTTTGGTTTCCTCATGCGATCTCCAGTACTAAAATTTGCCATGGTGTACTCACACCGCACCTAAACTTATTAACAATGGCCAACGACATTACATTTACGAATATAATACATGCCTGTTCCGTTTATCGTATTCACCACAACACAGATAAATTTAATACACAGAGAATTAGATGAACTATTACCAGTGCCTTGTCATTCATCTGCTGGCTCCTATTTTGGACCAAGAAAACAAAAGTATATTAACAGCTAAAATGAATTTAAATTGAAAATTGGACAAGACATTTTAAATAATAATGAGTACCACGCACAAGTTCATTAAAATTTTAGCTCGAAATTATAGAATGAAGAAAAAAGAATTAGCTAACCTCTCGAGGGCCATACCCTGCAGCAATGACTTTGGTGTTTCCCATCTCAAACACAGCAGAACTGAAATTTGATATGAAAGATCAGCTTTAAAAAAAAAATTACAAGGATTAGAAAAGAAGAATCAAGGTTTTAGTAATTAGAACCCATCGGCTTTTTCCACAACACCAATCTCTCCTCGAATTTGTCTCATCTGGGATCACAGAAAAAAATATATATTTTATAAAAATAATTGAAACTTTATACTGGTGATGATTCAACACAACGGAAAATTGAGAGATGGAAAAATACTTCCATGGGCCGCCGACCATCCAAGCGAAGACCTTCTGGGCTCACGTACTCCATCTGTTAGAACTTCATAATAACCAACTTAGGAAATGCCATAGATAACAAGAAACAAATGGTAGCTAAAGCAATCACTGTCTAAAATTTAAACGTCATAACAACCAAACTGCAAAGTTCCTTAAATTGTTGCATAATAGCTTTGCTTCAGCAACAAAATGGCTATTCTATATCATTGTTCATGCCTACACTTCACTAACCAAACGGAAGTAAATTTAAAAAATATAAAAAAAGGAAAACACTTCACTAACCAAAAGGAAGTAATTCAAATAAAGAACGTTAATTCATGGAGAAGAAGCTAAGTTTGTTTTCACCATCCAATCAACACCATCAACAACTATTACACTTGTACGAAAGGATCATCTTTTATCTTTGTTTTAATCACGAAAACCCATTACAGCATAAACCTTCCTCCATGAAGATTACAATGAACAGGTACGGTGGAATAACCAAATCATTGGAACCCACTTCCTAATGACTCTCAAATGCAGAATATATCCCACAATAATGTTAATCTGTTACGGGAATTTCCATTCGAGGCTTATCTCCATTGTCTCAAGTCTGTGACACATACTTGCCTACCAACCTTCAATGCAAAGATTAAAAATTTAAAAATCCAGATAAAGTTTATCTTCATACATAAAGTTTATTGTTCTTTCATAATATATATTATAAACTCATGTATACATTCAATTAATTTTGAGCACTGATATTCCCACCCCTATGTCTTATTTCCCTCCCCACCATTTAATGAAATGTTACCAAGGAAAACTGATAAAAATAACTTGAAAACTTTGAGTTTTAATCAAAATGGCAAAAATGGGTTGTAAGTGAATAGTACTAGAAGTGACTTTTTAGAGTAAAAATGTTCTTAACATTAAAAGTAAACAGTACCGAAAGTATTTCGTTAAGACTCCCATGTTAATATTCTTAAACTCTTATTTAATTAAGTACTAAAATTTTGAAAAATAAAAAACAATAATTTAAAATAATAAATAAATAATGGTGGGTTGGATGTGGTACCTTTGGTGGAGAGAGGCCAGGAAAGATTTGGGCTAGAATTGACGAAAAGGTTGGAGGAAGGAATGGGTGTGTGCTAGACAAGGGCGAGAAACTTGAATGGAGGCAAAAGAGACTTGAGGGTGAGATCTGGGGCTTTGACAGAAAAGCAGGAAGAAGAGTGATTTGGGTAAACGGGTCTCTGTGGGGCGGCGATAGGTGTAAGTACTAGGGTTTGTCGGGAATATTCTGCCATAGATATGGAACTCGGTGAAAATAGAGGGTGGGGATCTTGAGAGAGATCAAGGTGGCAGATTTGGGATTAGTAGGAAAAGATATTATGAAATGGATGCCATGATTTGAAGGACACGCGTGGTTTGAAGAATATGATGAATGTAAAGGTCTTAGGTCTTGCATTTTCTTTCATCTTTTTTTTTATATATATTTATTTATAAATATTATTCAAAGATGTATTAGAGTTATTTAAAAAATATATATTACGGTTATTTTGGAAATAACGGGTGTGGGAAAATAATATTTTACTTTTTTTATTTTTTTATAGTGAGTGAGATTATCATGTGGATGAAAAAGTAAGACACTGAAGTGGTGGGTCTAATAACACTCTTAATTTTGTGGTATATTAAAAATAAGAGAAATTTTATTTGGACAAGTTTTCCTCTCTCTAAACCCAACTTTAATATTTTGTTACCTAAACTCTTTAGTTTACCCTCATAAATTATAAACGTAAATAAACTGGAAAAAGAAGAGCTCATCATACCCATTTCCCGACTGTTCTCTCGCCCTCCGCTGGCTCCTCCTGTATTTGTTGGGTCTGTCTTCCTACCGAATATTTGTTTCCTGATATTATCAGTGTGTTCCCCCCACCTCTCCCACACCCACCAATTCTTTGCGGTGGATACTCCACCAAACGTCCAGTGAATCTTTCCTTCTTCTCTTGCGCGTGATAGGGCCTTGCTGTTAAGAGGCAAAACTAAGTTGCATCGTCGACTCCATAAGCGACTTGTTGCAGAAGTCCAAAATGGAGTCAAATGGATTTTGTGTTGGGTCGGGTTGTTGAAGGCGATGGTTGATTTAGCAATCCCGCCTAAATTCTATATGCAGGAGAAAGAAAAGGGAGGTCTGAAGTGGTGGTTGAGTGGTGGTGCTGCATGTGGGTGCTATCTCGGTTGAATGGGTGTAGAAAGATATTTAATTTTCATTTTCTTATTTTATTTAGTATAAGGGGTAATATAGAAATTACAGAGAGTTTGTATTTTTTTAGCTAGGTGTAGAAAGAGTATTGTTGGGTCTAAAAAAATTACGCTAAAAATAATAAACAAATGTATCTAAACTTAACAATAAAATACTGCAAAATACATAAATTTGAGCAAGTAACTATAAAAAAAAAATCATCTTGCTCTTCTTGGTTCTCCTAAAATATTTGGTAGCGTAGGTTCCTTCATCTTGCTCGTCTTGGTTTTCCTAAAAGGATAATTCTTAAGTTTATATACTCACTGCGACGTTTGACTTGCTCTTCTCTTCCATTCCCATTTGGAAGAGTTATAGGGTATATATTCCCATCTAGCTTTATGGTTCCCAAATTTCTCTCCTATCCTCATCTAGCTACGAATCTGATGAGTAGTAGAAACATACTTCTAAATCAATTCCCAGACTTTACAACTCCCTAAAGAAAAAGTTCTTCAAAAACCCCAACCTCATTTTAAGCAATAACAAACGAATCAATATTAGATTTTTGAAATTACTAAACAATACCTGGTTTAACTCTGAATTGTTAGAAAAATGTAGTCATGCATATCGAACCGTTCCTGAGATCTTCTTTGATTAAAAAAAAAAATCATAAATATTTCACAAAGTGCATCTTTCTTGTTTTATATTTCTCCTCAATGAAATGATCAAATGCAATAGTTGAAATCATTACACTATATTTTTTATATTTGAGTTCAAATGTGGTGGTACATGGGTTTGAGTTTCTTATTTTCTCCTCATGCACTTGATTATAAATTTTAAATTTTACATGTGACTCAAATGTTAAATTTTTTCTGTTGGAATGAAGTTTTTCTCTTTGCATGACATTCACCTTTACACTCAAATAATTTTTGGAAATTTTAAATATAACTCTAATTACTTAAAAAAACAGATATATAACATTTAGTTTAACTCAAAAGTTATATATGAGTTTTAACTTTCCGATGCAAATTTGATCCAATCGTCAACATTTAAGTTCAAACTTGACTAGAAATGAAAAAGGTACACATAATATAACAAAGCAAAGTCATGACTTGAATCATTATGGGAAATGAAGATGAGACATCATTTTATGTGCAGCAAGGCAAGCAAATAAGAAATCTTTAAAATCATGTCATATGATTTGTTGGGTGACAAAGCTTAGGCCAGTGCAATTATTTTTACAGGTCTTGAAGAGGGAGAAGGAAGCAAGTAAAAGATTAGGGGAACACAATATTATCCCGGGGACCTCAGAGTTGGAGCTTGAGGCCTTTGAGGTCATCATAACCTTTCTAAAACAAGAGTTTGGCCGAATCCATCATCACCCCCAAACCAAAACACACTGCAAGTAACAAGAATGATTTCCTTAGTATTCATAGCTGGCCTGCATCAAATAGAACGCCACCACTTCTCAATATAGAGCCTCTCTCCTATGCTCTCCTCCACCATAGTAATTATGTGGGCACATAAGTTTTTATCTTGTTCTTCTTTTTCTTTTGTTACTTTTTATTTGGTCTTTCACACATCATTCTATTGCCAACCTTACGACACTGGTGGACTCTCTTGGACCCCCTTAACTAAGAGTTCAAATCTTTTGTACTTAAAACTCTTTGTGACCTTTCAGTGACCTATTTAACTATTAAAATAAGGTTTAAATGAATGGTCAAGAGTCAACAATGAAATAGGTTACAGAAAGATCACAAAAAATTTTGAATACAAAAGATTTGATCTCGTTAATGATACCCACAAATTGTTGCATAAGATTGAATAGTTTGTTGACATGCTATAGCAAAACAAAGCATATGACATTTGGATCAGAGTGATTTTGTGTGTAGATGTGACGTACCATTTTCACTAAGCTTGGAAATCTCAAATAAACTACTTGCAACAAGAAGAGGGATTATCAAAATAATTACTTCCTCATTCTACAACAAGACTGTAGTTTTGGCAAACTATTACCACAATTTTTTTTTCTTTTGTAAACATGTCGTAGCTCATATTGCCATGGTCTTACAAACAACTCGTAAAATAATATAACCTAACAAATAATTTCCAGATAACTTACCGACATCTTCTAATATTCAAATATCATGTCAAAAAGTAAAGGGTAATGCTAGGTAAGCCAAAATTTTAAACTCACAAATCAAATGATGTGTCACCAGTAGAAAATGAGTAATGCTAGGAAGACTAAATTTATAGACTAAGTTTTGTAAACTAAATGACATGGAAGTTGATGATTAGATTATTACTTAAACATTGATAAATGTGCTCATTTCTTATTAGTGACACATCATTTAGTTTGCAATTTTAGTCTATAAGTTTAGTCTCCATAGCATTACTCATAGGAAATAAGTACGTTAAGCAACACTTAAGTAATAATCCAATCATCAACAACCACATCATTAAGTAATAATCTGTCATATATGATTCCTCCTCAACCGTTAGAGATTAATTTGGATTTGGCTTATGACAAAGTCCTAGTGAAGATTCTTGATTGGAAGGATAAAGTTCTCAGGAACAAGACCGTTCGTATGGTGAAAGTCTTGTGGAGGAACCACTCAGTTGAGGAAGCTACTTGGGAGATAGAAGAGTGAATGCAAGATTTGTAACCACATTTGTTCTTAGATTGATTTTCAGTAGTGTTGAAATTTCAGGGACAAAATTTTCATAAGGGGGTAGGTTGTGATGATCTGTTCCTAATTTTTATGTAATTTCTCCCTAAGTGTGTAAATGACATTTATGCTGTTGTTGGCAAAGTGACATGGATGTGATTATGCTGCTTTAAATTATTTTTCCTGCTATCATAATTAAATAATAATCGTTGTTACGAACGCGTGAGCGTGAGTTGGACCCGAATCAGATTTGTAAAGATAAAGTTGAGCGCAGGTAAAGTACATTAACAACGGGTAGAGTTGTACACGTGTGTGCGCTAATCTATTAGTGTTGGGAACATTGTTCTTGATAGGGAGACGAATTTTCTTGCATACATTTACTATGTAAAATCTAAAAATCTTATCCCCTTCTCCTTTTAAAAATATGACTCGTGCCCCCAAATCCCTCACCACCAATTATTTTGCTTCCCACTTTCTTTCACCCAATTAATCATCATCTCTCTCTGCTCAGCCAATCAGAAAACACATCACACTCTCTCTCATCTCTCTCTCTAACCCGTACTCCCTCCTTCTCTGTAACAAAGAAGAAGAACACCAAGTCTTCATAAATCGAACCTAAAAACACTACCATCGTGTTCCTTTCGTCACCACAATCACAACTGTACCAACCGATCACAAGTTCGTTGAGTTTTAAGTGGTCAACGCAGAGCAACTCGAAACCTTCGACTCGGACGAGTTTGCATCG